TTAAATGTTTGATATGTGGTGAAAAGTGAGCGGTCCGCGCTCATATGCGAAGTCGCACCAGAGTCGATGATAAAATAGGTGCTGTCTTTGGGCGAAGTAGCAGCACTATCCACTGCTGGTGTTGGTATGTGGGGCTGACTGTCTGAGCTCCCATCACTACCGCTTGCCGAGTCTCTTTTCGGCCTCTTCCCCGGACTTCTCTTCGGACCTTGCTCTCTCACATCTCCCCCTTCAGCCCAACATTTCTCAGTGGAATGGCTTCGCCTCCTGCAGTTTTGGCATCTCAATCCTTTCCTTTGCCTCGAGTCCGATCTCGGACATTCACTGTTTCGGCTTCGCATACTCGGCTTTTGCTCCCGACATTTCCCTTTGCGCTCATAGTTGCAAATGGACTCGATGGTCTCTTGGAGGGTGAGGGAGTGCCGGTTGATTAAGGATGTCTGGAGAGTGTTCCACTCTGGGGGTAAGGATGAGATTAGGGTTGCCGTTTGTAAATACTCGCTGTCCATATTCCCAAGTGTGTTGAGCTTGGAGGCTAACTCTTTTAGTTCCTGGATTTGGACTTCTAGGTCCTTTTCCGGTGTGAGTTTTTGTTTCCGTAGCTTTGTAAGAAGAAACACCATGGGCTTGATACCCGTCCCTGAGAACTTGGTCCGTAATGCATCCCAAATTTGGGATGCGACCATGAGATCGGTATAGATTTCCGCTATCTCATCTTCAATGGACACTAAGATTTGGAGGAGGGCTTCGGAGTTGCCCTTCTTCCATGTCTCTAAGGGAGTTGTGGTTGTTGATTGGGATGGAGCAGGGTCGGAATTGGCAAATGAGCAGGAGTTGGATGGAGGTAATGGTTCGGGTTTAGAGCCATCTACATAACCAAACAGATTGTGGCATTGTAGAACTAGGGAGATCCTTTGTCTCCATGTCGCGTAATTTGACCCATCGGACTTGAGTTTGGTATACTCGAAAATTTTCATGTCGGGTCGGACAGAGTTCATATCTGTGGTCATAGTAAAGATTAGATGGCGAGTTCTCTTGTGGACTTGGAGCTATAGAGAGCTTCTGGGCTCATAACCTAACGGAATAACCGCTTGCTCTAGTAGATAGCTCAGTCTCAAGCAATATGCGCGAGAACTGAGGGAAAAGGAAACTAATTCAAAAGATTGAATATAGTTTGTGGTCTTTGCGGATAAGTCCGAAGTGACCAAAATAAGTAAGAAGCAAAAGGTGTTGTGACCAAATAGTCACGCTACCGCGGGAATGTGGCTGTCCGGGCGAGTTCCTCGCTCGGATGTGGGAATGTGGCTGTACGGAAACTCGTCCGGCCTCCCATAGCACACGGTTCCTCCAACAGATGCAAGAGGTGGTGGCTGAGAAGCCAAAGCGTACTGTGGATGCAGAAGAGAAGGCATGGAGGCCAAAGCGCTCAGCAGGTGCACATAAAAGAAAGAAGGCACAGAGGCTGAAGCATACAGTGGACACGTGTAAAGAGAAAGAAAATAAACCGACATACCTGTTGGAATACAAGTCACATGATTAGATTGAACCGGAATATCCGAGAATATTCTAGGGATTACTAGGTGCCTGCATAAGTGCTGGGCATAGAAGAGCCTGGAATGTTATTCAGGAGTATAAATATGGGTGCTTTAGCACTGTATGTTCTTTAGTTAGTTACAGTTAACGGAATAACCGCTTGCTCTAGTAGTAAAGCTCAGTCTCACTATATGCGCGAGAACTATTATATTACCTAGTAGTAAAGCTATAAGGTAATATACAATGAGTTATAAGATATAAGAAAGAAAGAAAGACAACTAACCTCAGTCTCACTATATGCGCGAGAACTGAGGAAAAGGGAAACTAATTCAAAAGATTGAATATAGTTTGTGGACTTCGCGGATAAGTCCGAAGAGACCAAAATAAGTAAGAAGAAAAGGTGTTGTGACCAAGTAGTCACGCTACCGCGGGAATGTGGCTGTCCGGGCGAGTTCCTCGCTCGGATGTGGGAATGTGGCTGTACGAAAACTCGTCCGGCCTCCCATAGCACACGGTTCCTCCAACAACAGTTTCTTCTCATTTCTATATTACATCCGGGTTGCGAGTGAACCGCTGAAGCAGGTTGCCATATATGGAACGCCGCGTTTACAACAGTACCGATCAAGCAGCAGAAATCAGAAACATAGACAGAATTGCATACCAGACAACTAAGAAAAACTGAACATCGCGGATGAACAGTCTAAAGGCATAAAGCAATGAACATTGCGTACAGACGAGGACTTGACCTAGCAAAGGGCACGGCGGATACCCAGAAGAAAACTGAGGCGCTGAGGCCGGCGCACACAAGTCATATTTAATCTCGTGCCTCCATTAAATTTAAATATATTGACTGGGTCACGAGTAGTAGGTGCTCATAACCGCATCCGGCAATTAGAAGTACGCGGACATGCATCAGGAAAACTCTGATTGAAGTGATTGAGATCATATCATTGTCACTGAAACTTCCAACCATTCCAATCAGGTCCCTAGAACACACCAAGAATGCATTTGATTGAGCTGATTGGGTTTATGCACATAATGATGTCTTCACTTTTTCACAAACTTGAAACCAGTCTAGTTGGGGTTCTGAATACATTGAGCAACATCATGGCATGATACAGCATCAGCAATTTGTCCAGGTTCGTAACTTCGGCGTCAGTTTGGCAGATAATGTAATAACCACTTCATCGCTAGCCTCTCGGTCAGCATTCTGTCAGACTGATACCTGGGGTAGACTATTACACCTCCCACTAGGGTACTTCTGCGTATAGCATGGTACGTATCACGTTCTCCGGACCCTGGGCGGGTGAGGCGACAACATTCCAACGGTCTGGCCATTTCTTTGTGTTCGCTTGAATCTCCCTCGTCATTGAGCAGCATCGCTTCGGTCCTATCTGAGGCGAATTCTCGGCTACGCTTTTGGCGAAGAGTCTGACAGGATTTACACTGTTGACTGTTGGACTTCTCACCTCTCTTCCGCCGTAAATGGTCTGTGAACACTCAACAACCGCGACCACAAGCTCTTTCCTTCGGTACAGGCTTCGCAGCCGCATCCCCTGCTCCCCTGCTCCCCCTTTCTACTAGGAGGAACGCATCCTAGTGCCCCACAGCCCCCTGACCCAGGTTCTAGCGCCCATACAAGCGCCAATTCCAGTTCAACTCGGTCATCTCCGGGCGGTAACTCTACTCCGGATGAATGATAGCTGGTGCTGCTGGAGGGACTGTTGCACTGGCTGCGGTATTGTTTTATTTTTTTAAAAGACTTAATCTACTTGGGCAACGATTCCCCGCAACGATCAGCCAGCCTGGTCCGACCACAGGGGTGAGTCTCCTGCCCAATATTCTGAAAAGGGGCTGATGGAGGGTTGCGTGGACCGGCTGGAAGGTGGGGCAAGCTGGCGGAAGGGTTAGATCAACCTGCCGGAGGGTTGGGCCTGCCGGCAGGAGGTCGGCTCGGGATTTGACCAGCTGCCGGATATGGTGTGCAAGGGAGACCTGGTCTTGTTAATCATATCGCATAAGGGAGTGACCGTAGGCATTCGTGGCACCGTATAAGACTAGTAGGAGGCAAAGTGTTGCCTATCCAACTGTTTTCACTTTTTTTCCTGGTGATATCGACCTATTGACCAATTTCTTCGCGGACTGTCCTGCATTACTTTGGCTTGTTGCAATCATCTGTTCTTTGGAAGTCGCGATTTGGAGTCATGCCGTATGTTAATCCCAAGAATTTGTAGCGACCTGCTTCGGTTTTAAGATTATATTGTCGGTGCTTCTTATTGCGTTCAAGTCGGGGGCATCAACATACAATATTTGTGTTCCCGAGCGAGTTGGCTGCACAACCAATTAGTGGGAGGAATTTGAAATACGTTTTGCACTGCCTGTCGATCGATTTGGTTAATTTTACCTATTCCTCTTTGCTTCGTTATCCCGTGGGGTTTTCGGGCCAGATAGGAGCCGTATGGCTGTGGGATTGCGGCTTTCACACCGGCTAGGAGATCGCTAGGGAGATGGAGATTGTTGTTGCAGGAGCCAGTCTGCCTGTGGGGTTTGAATTAGACCAAGGGCCCGAAGTACGATCGTTGAATCGAGCTACTTTCTGGCGCGGTCGGACATGCCAGTACGTGCAACATCCGGCGGTGTCCCTGGCGTGGGCAGGTGACCAGCCTCTATTACCAAGATGAGAACCCCATCGATTCAATGCTGTGCAGCTGCCTTTCTAATTGAAGGCGTGTGGGCCCATGCTCAGGAGTCAGATCCCGTAAGTCCTACTGCGCGTGTTTGCACTGCATGTGTCGTTTTTCAAACCGTAATCATGGGCATTCTTATACTGCAGCTGAATACCATCCATGTTCCAGTTCCAACTCCCCAGAGGAAAGGGTAAAAGGCTAAGGGTATTATGAGGAGATGCTGGTACGATTCTGTGTCTATGGACGTGTCAGGCGAGCCCTGGCCATGATGGCCCTTCTGCTCACGTTTCATGTCCACCCGAGCGCGTCGCAATGCGTGGTTCGATTTCCTGACACACCAGGCGGAATAACGGCTGGCCTTCCGTTCCGGATCTCGTGGACTAACTGCACAGTGAGTTCTCTTCATCAACGGTTCATCCCACTCTCAGTGTTGGGGCCCACAGACGCCCGTTCAAGTTCAAGTTTTGGACAAACCCGGAGGTTACGTACTTCAAAACTACATTAGATATGAATCTCCTTCCTACATGTACGTGATTCACCTCTACCTTCTGCGACTAGGATATGAGCTGAGAGCTGATGAGTTCTTCGATAGTAACATCACTGACGGCAATGTGGGCAGGACGATTTACCTTAGCTTGAGAGATCGGACTGGATCCTTTCATTCAAGCTTACCTTACGTTGTCAAGGCATGCCATGATTAACAATATGTCTATCCGACCCGGCTATTAATATGTGTGTACATTCAAATAGCCGAATTCTGCCTTTGTGTCCTCGTCCTCCATGTCCGCCTCAGTAAGCGTCCCCATAATCTTACCAACGATTCCACCGTTGAACGACGGGCCTGTTAAATCGCTGCCTAGAGCATACAATTCGTCTCGCTCAGTGCTGTATCTGTTCGGTTTGTCAGCCTTGTCAGTGTGAGTGAAGCACAACATAGGTAGATTGGGGCTCGGTGCTAAGTTCGGGGTGCCCTGATTTTATGGCAGGTTTCCTCTGTCGCGGCGCTCTCGGCACAATCGACGATCTCAATTCGGTCAGCGAACTCTGTCCAGTCAGAGCGCTCGACACTGTCTGTACACTCCGTGCGGTCCGTGCGGTCCGTACAGTCCGTACAGTCCGTACAGTCCACGAGTAGTGTCCAATCCCTTGCCAGGCTTTCGTCACTCTCAGTGCAGTCCTCTGATTCTCTTCGACCTCCCGCATACCTCTCATCGCGTTCGGTTCGATCGACTTCATCCCTGGGGGTAAGAATATTTCCTCAGAGTCAAAACTTCCACTGATGTCAACTGGATTATTGCATTTGGCATTGGCCATCATTCTTTAACGCCATGACAGAGATTCTCGAGTTTGACTCCATCCGGGTCCTTTGTGTCGTTTCCTGCTTCTTCGGTGCCGTCTAGCACGGTATCTTCAACTCTAACGCCATCTGCACCCTCGTCGACTTCAGCATCCGGAAATCTCTCTAGTATCGTGACGACATCCACTGGCATTCCTGTCACCGGACATCGTGCAAGGAACTTACCAGCAATCGTAGGCGGAGCGGCAGGTGGCGGAGTGGCTTTTTTTTTTCTCGCTTTCCTGCTTTATTGGTGTTCCAGAACGGACGAACCTGATTATCTGGAAGAATCTGCACTCGAGCAGCATGGTCACGGTGAGTACCCAGTGGTCAGGAAGTCCCGTCAACACAGTCAACCATCTGGTCCGCCAGGATTAGGTGGTGCACGATGGGATCTGTATGCCCCTGTGACCTCGATGGCGTCGTCACATTATGATCCGTATATCCAGAGTTCAGGTGTTACCATTGGGACTAGCGAGAGCCGCAGTCACACAACTACCGGAGACAGATTCCCATCTCAAATCCAGCTTTATCCCCAGCTACAGTCATCCCCACGACCCCAAAATCAACCTCTGGAGCGTGAGGGCCGAGTCCAGCAGTATCTCAGCCAGGAACAACCCAGTGGTAAAACCAGCAAACCTCTACGTGTTTTAAACCCCGATGCTCCATCACCGGAACAGTCGCCCGTTTCTCCACAACAGCATCCCTCAATTACATTCAATTAATCTGAGGTACCTATTGCGGCTTCCAACGTTGGTTTTCATCCCAAAATCACCCCGTTGCCCTCCCACCAGCACCGCTCCACCCCCAAAGTCCTCGCAGGATTCCACCAATCTAAGCATGAGCATCTATACTAACAACGGGCCTGGGGTATTGGTACCGAATCCACAGCTGAATTTAGAGTCAGGAGGGTGGTACAAAGATATTGGTAACTGGCGTGGTGTGGTGGCTCCGGGTGCGAACCGTGTGTATGGTTTACCGATGAGAATTGCGCCCAAAGCTCTGATCTGGCTGGAACAAGTGGGACATGGTCGGATTTTCCGGAGTTTGGTCAGACGTAGCCGTCAGGCTTCCGGCTAAGCATGGCGACGTAATCACTTGGAGCAATCGTTTGATGGATTGACTTGGCGTTGACCTTCGTTTCAATTTCTCTCTTCGATATCCGATTTGCTATTTCTGTCGGTCTCTGTGAGGTTATTCCAGTTAATATTTTCCTCGACTCGTGGGCAAGGCATTTATGAGTGGATGTATTTTTTCTTGCAGAATTGAGGGCTAGCTCCGACTTAGTTGCCGAGCAGGGCCAGTCGCTTGCTCGCTCGTTCGCCACGCCGTAGCCATTTGCTTCAAACCTCGTCGGCATCGTCGGCATTTAACTTGAACTACTAGTAAAGCATATGCCCCCTACCATTTAGTCGTCGCCTTCAATGCTGATGATTCGTGGTGTCCGAGACAATACTTCGAATGAACCGGCGGTCCGATTCGATCAGGAGGCGATATTCGGGGTGGGAAACGATTCCTGACTCCCTACAGGATGTAAAAGTAGATAGACAAAATCGAGAGGAGATGAATCGATGACATCGGGTTGAGAAATGACACTTTGAAGGTTAAGGTTGATAGCCCTGATATATATATCACTTCTATTTACTGTTTCACACAATCAATTCCCGCTACTCTGTAGCGGGTCTTGACAGAGTAGCGGGAATTGAAAGCGTGAACTGAATGCCCGTGCATGAGGTCCTCTATTATTGCCAATTACCTGCCCAACCTGGGTCCTTCTTCCCTTATTACAAATTCATGCTCTAGAAAACTCTGTGCAACTTCTCCGTCGTCTCTGGCTTTAAAAGCATCGCCCTTCCGCCCTTCCCTAATAACTTCCTTTCCCCTCCATACTATGCTGCATTCCTCCTCACCCATTCTCTCTTTGATGCTCTTATCCGACGATGCCCTAACCTCGGTCACCAACGATGCCATCACCCATGGCCTCATTGAGCCTCATCCAATGATCAATGATTGTCACGATTAATGGTACATTGTAATGGCGATTGCTATTTTTGTGCTGGTTCCGCTTGTGCTCAAACAAGATCGGAGTTCGCTCATATCGATGATTACCTCCAATTCCTTTATACTTTCCTTATTTCCCCTTCTACCTCTGTCAATATACAAATTCTTGTTTGTACAGCTTTGGGTGCAAATGATCGTAATTCAAGCTTTCGGACTCAAGAAGAACAGTTGACAATTCTACAGTATTTCTGGAATATTAGTTCTAAATTTCCAGATCATTTGAGACTAAACCTAAATCCACCCCATGGGACGTGATGCAAGGAGTTCGCCGGAGTCATGTGCTAAAGAAAAAAATGTACAGTCATTTGCTTCCGAAATGCACACTTTTCATGCTTAGCGCCTAGATGAGAATTTCGTATATATAAAAATTAATAAAATTTATTAAGGGAAAGACCATCATCTCATCTCTGTGCAGGCAAATTTTGGGAAGAAAATATGGAGTTTCCATGGCATTATAATGAATCTTCCAAGGGGGATGATTTTGAGGCATGACCTCTGAAGTGCACAGGTGTGGAAAAGGCCATTGCCCAAGTTGCTGATGCATGCTATCATTGCTAATTATTGATCAGGCATATGGAACCACTGTACACACTCTTGTTATTGTACTTCCATGACCCGCTTTCTGTTTTTATATGCTGCACTATGGCTGCTGTGACTTTATGCTGCATGTAGTGCCCATTTCAGATCAAATATGCTCAAAAAAGTATTTATCCACTCCCATTGGCACTTGTTCTCCTGTCCTTCTTCAACAATGCCACAAGTGGGGCTCAAGAACACTGTAGCATGGATCAATTGAATTGCTAATTTGCTAAAAATGCATATTTCAGTGTTCCCTGAAATAACCATGAAGCCAATGTAGTTAATATTCAGCATCTGTGAAGGCATTATCTAGTGGAATGTTATGCAAAAAAAATGGAGTGAAACGGCCCAGTTGTTGTTGAGAAATTGCCGGTGTGTACATCAGAGGTGTGTGCATTTCGGAGGCAAATGACTGTATGGAAAATAAAAATTTCATTTCAGTCCCAGCTGGAGGTATCCACCTGAAGTGAAATTTTTTAAGTTAAATTTGAATCATGCTCAACATTGTAGATTAAAATTAGCTGTAAATTTGGCTCGAGTACAACCTCTTTAGAGGTGGCATCGAGTTCGACATCTTGGTTGGCACCTCAGCTTATCATTCCTCCAACTTTATCTATATTGCCACCTCCACCAGCATCCTTGAACAAGCCATCCATATTCATCACTGTCCCCTTCTACCAGCATCATCTGCCTTTCAAGGGTGCTTCCTCAGACTCACCACCCAACAGTCCTGGCTCTCCCTCTCCCTTTGACACATCTTCTCCTGCATCGACTTCCCCTGCGATGCCTGACAGTCCCAGTTCTCCCTCTCACTCTGACACATCTTCTCCCACATCGACTCCCCCTGCGATGCCCAATAGTCCTGGTTCTCCCTCTCACTCTGACACATCTTCTCCCACATTGACTTCCCCTGCAACACCATCCAACAGCAAGGACCCAGCACCTCATGTTGTTGTCAGTAGCCACCTGCATGGGATACCAGAGACCATGGCTGCCAGTGGTGTTGTATGTTGTATGAACATTGACATGAATGAGGAAATGAAATCTCACCTCAGTCTCAAACGAGTCTGAGGGTGAGAGGTTCCAAAAATTCCATATACACAACCATTGTTCAGTGATGGGTTGTCGTACATAGGGGAATGGGTTCAGATGCAACCATTGCTCCATGGCAAGGTGGTCAAACTAAGTCCAAAAATTCAGACATGAAAAATAAAGGTATAACACTCACCACATTTGAGTGATCTTGAAGATTCAACATGATCCATGAGTGGGAACCGAGCCTTGGAGGCGCTGGAGAAAAGGGTTGTGAAAGGAACACTGGAAGGGAGATGAGTGCAGTGGAGAGCATATGCCACAAAGTTGGTGAGCTGGGGAATGTCAGGGAGCGACTGTCAGGGACTCGTCCGGGGTCGAGGGGGCCCGGGTGTATCGTCCGGGGCTGAGAGCCTGGCAGGGGGCAGATCGGGCATGCGTACTGACAAGCCCGATGCAGGACAGCGGTCCCTGGCCACTTAGACTGAAGTGGAAAGTTGAGAAGAAGGCTAGTTCTTCGGTTCCCACTTCAGGTTTGTTTATATACATGCGGCTTAGATCACATGACAGGTGCCACGTCACCCTCGCACACAGCCGTAACCACCTGGGTGTCTCCATGGGAGATCCTGAGGGCATCCAGTGCAGGCACTGCAAGAGGGCTCGCGGCTCTCTATGCCGACTAAGCTCGTGGGGCCAAACTCTCCAAAACTCCTACTTTCTCTCTAGACTTTACTCGACTCTCGATCCTTAACTCCGCATGGGTTCTCCGGGATTCCGCAAGGTCCGGGCTCAGTGTCCACTACTCACTCGTTGTGAGCTAGATCACTGCCCTTATTCCTACTGTTGGAATTCCACACACTCACACCCTCTCTAGCGCGTCCTAGCACCTTAGAGAAAATGGGGGAGGGGAGAACTTCTTTTCAAAAATCCGGTATGTACAGGATTATAAGAAACAATTATTTTTAGAAATAATAGATGGCAAATATTGGTACCATATGGCACCTGGGTACCTTATTAGGCGAAATAATAAAAAAGGGTAACAGTAACAATAAAAGAATATCAATCAATAACTGAAATGATGGCAAAATATGAAAATATAAGAAAATAAGCGATTTCTCAACGGATTTACGGAATTATGGGCCGAGATTGGAAATCAAGCCGGAGATAACTCTCACACAGCCGATAAACATTTTTACCAATTTATTAGACCCTGTGGGAACGAGTGAGGCTGGAATTCTGGGTTGCCGCTTGAGATTCCCATGCCCGCACATGCCCTGCCTAACTTGCCCAACATAGAACTCCGTCAATTCTCCACTGATTAGGACGTTCTTGATATCGTCGGAATCGTACGAATTAGCACTATTTTTATATGTCAAATCCGTATCGAGTTGTCGCATGAATGGAAGGGGTTTTCTGAATGGTGGAAGCGGGTATCCGAGCCGGCTCTGTGCGTGGGCGATTATCCCGCCTACAGCGCGCATACTGGGCACAGTGGGAAGTTGCCCGAGGTGCCCGGGCCGGGTACATGGTGGGTGCGCTGCAGATGGGTCAATGGTACATTGATACAAAGAAGGTCGTCCATGTAGAATAAAGAGAGAATAAAGAAGAAGTAAGATAGGAAGGAAGTGAGAAGAGGGAGGGAGGAAGGGAAAAGGGGAGGAGGTAAGGAAGGGTGGACAGCAGGGTACCAGGTCAGGTTGGGCCAGGTGGAGCCGGGTCAGGCAGGTGTGCCCTGACAGCGACCCAGGGTTGAGAGCACCCAGATGTATCACCTGGCACTGAGGACCCAATAGGGTGTAGCATGGGCACATGTACTAACAGACCCAGCACAAGAGGGCATCCCTGGCCACTTAGGCTAAAGTGGGAAGTGTGAGAAGAAGGTTACTTCTCAGTTCCCACTTAGGCTATGTTTATGTACATGCAGTTGAAGGTCACATGGGGGGCACCACATCATCTATGCGCACAGCCATATCTGCCTGGGTATCTCCGTAAGAGATCCCAGGAGTGTCCAGTGTGTAGGGCATCACCCGGTGTGTCCAGGTCCAGGTGTGTTGCGCAGCCGGGTTAATGGTACATCGATGCAAGGAAAGTCGTCCATGTAGTAGAAAAGGAAAGAAGAAGAAAGAAAGGACAGAAGAAAGAAGAAGGGAAAGAAAGAAGGAGAGAGGAGGGAGGAGAGAAGGGAGGAGAGAAGGGAGGAGGGAGGACAGGGGCACCAGGTGAGGGTAGTGGGATCAGGTGGGGTCGGACCAGGTGGAGTGGGGTCATGCAGGTGTGTGTCAGGGCACACCCGCCTGACCCAGCCCCACCTTGCCTGGTGCCCCACCATCCGCTCCTCCCGACCTCCCCCCTCTTCCCCTTTTACTCTTCTCTTTCTTCTTTCCTCTCTTCTCTCTTCTCTTTCCTTTTTATTCTTTTCTTATCACACGGAAAACTTCCTTTGTATCAATGTACCATTGACCTGGCTGCAGTGTAACACGTGTCAGGGCACATACCCTGACTTAGCCCGGACCCGGACCCGCGTCCGGACCCGCTCCACTTCCTGCGCACTTCCCGCGCGGCACGCTCCGTGCGCCGCATGATCCGACCCCGGATCCCACCTCATGTGACTTCCGGGTATCCCCGGAAGTTTTCGCCATATTGGGGCCACTGTGGGAAAGTGAGAAGTTAACCTTCTTCTCACTTTCTTACCCACAGTAGGCAAGTGTATCTACTTGCCCCTTTGTTTATATCACTTTCTTACCCACAGTAGAGTCATTGCCCTGGACAGGGCTGTTCATAGGTTAGGCTGTGGGCCATAGAGAGGGGTCATGGGGACCCGGGGTCCATCCCCTGACAACGCGCCCGGACCCGGACACACCGGATGACCTCCCGCATACTGGACGCTCCTAGGACCTCTTACGGAGGTGTCAGGGATCAGCAATGACCCTGGACCCTATGCCAGCTGCGCATATGCACGTGGGAAGTATGCCGGTAATTCCCGTCTACTCCGCTTACCTAAGCCCCGGTGACCCGGATCATCTCCGGCATTGTTCTGGAACATTCTATGATCACGTGATTCTATCGGCAATCCATTTGGTTTCCTTATTGCCGGACTCTACATGTATATAGCTGACCCTAAGATGGGGACATCCCTTTCCCCCAGCTTTAATCACAACTAGGTTATCGGAGCATCTTGTGCAAGCACGCGCGTCCCCTGACAGGAGGTACCCGGATGGATGCAGCTGCGTAGATGACATGGCACTTCCCACGTGGCCTCAACCACATGTATATAAACACAGCCTAGGTGGGAACTGAGAAGCAACCTTCTTCTCACATTTCCCTTGTTAATAACAATAACACATTCCCCACTTTAGCCTGAGTGGCCAGGGACCCTTGTCTGCTTCGGGCCCATTGTTACGCGTGCCTGCGTCATACCTACCGGACCCTCAGCCCTGGGCAATATACCCGGGCACTCTTGACCCCGGGTCGGTCCCTGACAGCAGAAGAAGGTTTCAACCCCATTTCCCCCCACCTCCCCCACCATGGTGACACAAGAACAGTATGACGACCTGCTAGCCCGGTTCCAGGAACTACAGGCCACTGTGGTAGCCCAAGCCCAGGGCCAGCCCGTGCACGTGCCCAGACCACCCAAAGTCGCCCCCCCCCACCCCCTTCTCGGGAGTCAACAAGGACCTCGACCGCTTTAAGGCCGAATGCAGGATCTATCTCTATGTCCCCGCGGCCGAATTCCCCAGCACCCTCTCCCAAGTCCTCTTCATGCTTTCCTACATGAAGGGAGGGACTGCAGGAGCATGGGCAACGCAATGCACCATGGCGCTACTGAGGACAGGCTCCCCTACACCCACCATGGACAAGTTCAATGCAGAACTTGACACCATGTTCCAAGACCCGAACCAGGCAGCCACAGCCCGGCAGAGGCTGGCTACCATCCGACAGGGAAGTGACCCCATGGACAGACTCATCCAGGAGTTTGAGATACTAGGGCCCACCTCGCAGCTAGGCGATGTAGGTGTCAGGGGACGACTCCCGGGTCCCCATGACCCTCCCCTATGGCCCACAGCCTCAGGTCTGGCCAGCCCTATCCAGGGCACAATCTACTGTGGGTAAGGAGATGAATAGATAAACAGTAGGTAAGGTACACTTGCCTACTGTGGGTAAGGAGATGAGAAGGAAGCTAACTTCTCATCTTCCCACAGTGGCCACCATATCAGGAAAACTTCCGGGGATACCCGGAAGTCACATGAAGGCAGGATCCGGGGCCGGACCATGCGGCGCACGGAGCATGCGGCGCGGGAATGTGCGCGGGAAGTGTAGCGGGTCCGGATGCGGGTCCGGGTCCGGGCTAGTCAGGGTGTGTGCCCTGACAGTAGGGCTAGTCGACCGCTTCGAGCGGGCAATCAACTCCCGGCTCCGTGAGAGCATCTACCAGCTCCACCCTATGCCCACCACCTGGGCCAAATGGAAGCGTGAAGCCATGCTCCTTGACAGCCAGTGGCAGCGCTTCCAGAGGATGCAGCCATGCATGCCCTCACCCGGGCCCCCTCCACCTGCCCCACCCGTGACCCCTGTAACCCGCCCCAGAGACGAACCCGCACCCTGAGACCCACCAGACATGATGCCTGCACCCGGAAGACCTTCAAACACTGATGAAGGGGCTGAAGGGCCAAGCGACGAAAGGACCAGAGGCAGGAGGGAAAAGACTAGACCCAGACCAAAGAGGGCGCCCGGAGACCTAGCCTGTAGGGAGCGCATGCCAGCCACCCACAAGGGATAGCTCACGCAGATGCCATGATGCCCATGAGCCGCCACCAGCACCGAAGCTCCATCGGGTCATTGCAAAGAAAAGGAGAAAAGGAGCACCCCAGGCCCGCAAGGATGAGGAAACCACAGAGACGACCCCAGAGGTAGCAGTGTCCCCACCTGCTATCTACATCCTCTCCAAACGGTCCCCAAGTGTCAGGGCACACCCTTTTCCACTTCAGTCTAAGTGGCCAGGGACTGCCTCCTGAGCCGGGCCCGCCAGTACGCACGCCCGC